AAAAAAAAAAAAAAAAACATGTGTCGATACTCTTGGGGACGTATCGATGCATCGGATCGTCAACTGTTGGATCGATGTATCGATACAAAACGATTATTATTTACACCCCTACCTGTGAGTGTTCCCCAAAGACTGGCCATGGCGCTGCATGTTTTGCCTTCGGGTGTAAACCCACAGACCATCGCACAGCATTCTGTACGGTGTCTGGGTTAGTGTCCGAGGTGTGCCAGGCGTTGTGGACGGCACTACAGCCAGAATTTCTGCCATTAGGTACCAAACAGGAAATCCCCATGTAGAGCGGATGTAGAATTGGCCAATCGGAGGCCTCCTTTCTCTCCTCCCTGCGGCGCTGTCTTCAGTCACCTACAATTTTGGGGAGGTGCACCTGAGTGTCACACACACACAGACCAGGCTTAACCCTTCATGCATCCAAGAGCAGCAGGGCAGTGGTTCTAGAGGATTGGAGCTTTAGAACCTGGCTGTGTTCTGATCAACTCCAGTAGAGCTAACCTAATGTTTGCTTCCTGTCTGATTTTCCAGGTAATGTTGAACCATCGTAAGCTGCTTTTAGTTCCCGTTCAGTTGAAACGGTTTGGTTCTGCTGATGCTGGGCTTCGTTTCTGAACCGCTGATCCTTGTTGTTCTTTGGGTCCAGACAGCCGATGGTTTGACGTTCTCCCGGCGCCACCACGTGGTGGAGAAGACAACGCTGTACGACATGGACCTCGACCCGACCGGGGCTCACGTCTCCATCGCCTGCCAGGACCGAAACGTCAGGTGAGGAGGAACAACGGCGCGTTCTTCAGGGGGAAAGTTAGCAGGTTGTTGACGTTGAGCTTTGTGTTCTCAGAGTTTACAACGTGGAGACGGGGAAGCTGGAGAAGAGTCTGAAAGGCTCAGCCACTGACGAAGGAGCTCTGCTCAAGGTAAGCAGCTGCTGATCAAGCACAGGTTTGGGTCTGTCTGCTGCGCATAGCCTCCAAATGACGGACGGATGAATGCAGGTGCAGATGGATCCATCGGGCTCGTTCTTCGCCACCAGCTGCTCCGACAAGAACATCAATATCTTTGACTCGGAGTCAGGAGAGTGTGTCGCCACACTGTTCGGTCACTCAGGTAAGTTAGAAGATTGTTAGATCTTTATCTGAGTACTGTGAAAAAGTTATTAAAAGAAAAACTGGAAGGAAAAGGTGCATCAGCAGTAGGAGTAACTGCTGCCAAGAGATGAACTGAAGTTGCATCAAATGAACAAGACCATAGAGAACCACATAGTAAGAGACTTTCAAAGGAGTTTTCAAAGAAAAATGTTTTTCAATGACTTTGAGATTTGATTTAAGACATGCAATTTGAGGTAGAAATGTGACCTAAAACCCTCTGAGCTTAAGGGGTTAAAAGGAATATCTTTAAGTGTTGCTGCCATCCACTAGAGGATGCAGCTGTTCATTCTACCAACAGAAACATGAATCATTATAGAGTCCAGTCCAGATTATTTACACAGCTTTTAACGTGACAGTTACTCCGAATACACTTTATGTGGTTCTGTTTGTAAATGAAAACTCTGGATTGGATCCTTCAGTACTCAGCTAAATGTGCTCATTCAGCCTGAATGGTGATGATGTGATTATATAGAAGTGGAGAACATTACACAAAACGTCTGCAAAATGATCCAAAAAGTCCAGCTAGCAATTAGCACAGTAGATGGAGAAGGCTTTGGGGAGTTAAATATGCTTCGTTCTGCAAATTTTTACTTTCCTGAGAAACAGAACCAGAGCCAACCTTTTAAGTTCTGCTCACAGGTGCTAAAAGTATTAATGTTTATTATTCAAATAGAAGTATAAATCCCTCAGTTAAAAAAAAAACAAAAAAAACTTTTGTAGAAGTTGGAGTTTCAACTTCAGCTTTTTTACTCAAGTAAAAGTACCATTTTTAAAACTACTTAAAGTATTAAATTAAAAGTAAAGCAGGAAAGATGTTATGGTCAGATGCTTTATTGTGCTACCCTATTAAAGAAGCATTTTCTAAAATTCTGGATGATAACTTCCTTATGAATAATTTTTCTTAGTTTTGTAACTTATAGTAATTTAACTTTGCATGATCTTGAAAAACTATTTTGGTATGTTATGAACGAGAAGTTGGTGCAGTACTGAGTCCAACCGCAAAGACATTATTTGTGTGGATGAAACTAATTATTTTGATGCTTTTTTTTTTTTATTTTTTATTTATTTTTTTTTTTTTTTATTCCAACAGACAACAATGAAAAGAAGCTTAAATGAATCAAAACTAGTTGGTCTATATTTAAAATGTAAGGAGTAGAAGTAAAAAGTTGTGTAAAAAAAAAAAAAAAAAATACTCCAGTAAAGTATAATTGCCAATATTTCTACCTAAGTGTGTGTCTCTACCTAAGTAGGTGTCTCTACCTAAGTGTGTGTCTCTACCTAAGTGTGTGTCTCTACCTAAGTAGGTGTCTCTACCTAAGTAGGTGTCTCTACCTTAGTGTGTGTCTCTACCTTAGTGTGTGTCT